AGTTCATGGATTAGGGACCCAATTTTATGGGGTTCCAGGAGCTTCTGTATAGATTATTTAGGTTAATCTTTCTATCTACCCAATGGGACTCAGTGCTCAGTCTAGAAGATACCATCAGAGATGCTTAGTTTTGCAGTTCTCAAACTGTGGATTTGTGTCTCCAGAGATAACATACTTGTTAACAGCAGAAATGTTTTTAAATAAATAAATAAATAATATACAGAGGTGAGAAATAACAGACCTCAACCCTATTGTCCCTCTACACAGAGTCAATCCCTTACCTCTCTCTAAAAGTGCAAAGTTTCAAAAAGTTCAATGAATAGAAGATTGTTGGGGGCGGAATAGATCTGGACAAGGAGAAGAAGTCTGGAGATAAATGTGAGAAGGGAGGGACAGGCAGTAGAAACTAAAGTGAAACTGTTTGAGCAGCATATTCCAGAAGTCTTGAGGTCTTTCTGAGTGTAACCTTCATTGATTTGAGATCTACCATACCATTCTCTCACCAGAAGAGAAAATCTATAATGGCAGCAGGCTGTAAAAGAGACCCAGTTTGGGAATATTTTAATGAAGTTCCTCTGTGGGTAAGACAGGCATGCATGCAAAATGCAAACAGTGCAATGAAGAAATGCAAGGCCTGATTGCCCAAATGAAACAACATCATGAGAAGTGTTCCTTCCCAGGAGGAAGCTGCATTGAAGATGATTAAAGGAACATGTCTGAACATGCAGGATCTTCAGGTTGGTAAACTTTTTTATTTCAAACTTCTCTCTTAAGGACTGCCTGTCTTCCTTCTGGACTATTCTTGAATTCACATGTTTGAGCAAAAAATATAGTTTTTACACTATAGTACTATCATTTTAGATGCAGTTGTGATAAAAAATAAATATCTGAAATAGGCAGATCTTCCTGTTACAATTTCACCTTTAAAGTAGTACTGAGTGTCAGTGAATGCAATGAGTAATACTAAATGAGCAGTATGGTAATAATAATTAAATAACTGCATTGACTTATTTTGTTTAGGAGAATTCATCCTCAACATACAGGATTCTGAAGACTATCCACCTTCAAGATCACTATCATTTTCTATAGTTTCAGAGTTATCTGCCAATGATAGTGTTCAGTCACATCATGTATGTCACATAGCCACAGTATATCACCTGTAGCAAAAATAAAAGAAAAATCCCCATCATCCAGAAACAACCATAGATAAATTTGTGATAAGAACCAGCAGATTACAAAAAGAAGTAATTGATGAAAAAATTGCCCGGTTTGTTTATGCAACAAACTCTCCTTTCCGTATGATTGAGAACCCACACTTCATTAACATGGTTCAGTCATTAAGACCAGGATACAGTCCACGCAGCAGAGCAGATGTCACAGGCAAATTGCTGGATAAAGTGTATGAAAGACAAATTGAGCAGTGTGCAAAAGATCTAGAGGGTAAAATTGTTAACCTGAGTCTTGATGGGTGGAGCAATGTCCACAATGATCCTGTTGTATGTGCTTGTGTGACAATAGAAGAAGGGAATGTCTTCCTTACAAAAACAATTGATACATCAGGAAATGCACACACAGAACAATACTTACAAGAAGTAGCAGTAAAAGCTATAACAAACTGAAAAAAAATTCAAATGTCTAGTAGGCAGCTTGGTCACAGACAATGCTGCAAATGTATCCAAGATAAGAAGAAATTATTTAGAAGAGAGTGAAGATAGTCCCAAGCTAATAACATACGGTTGCAGTGCTCATTTGATGCACTTCCTAGCCAAAGACTTCAGTGTTCCAGAAATAAAGGCTAATGTTGTTGAAATTACAAAATACTTCTGTAACAATCACTTTGCAGCAGCTGCTCTGAAAAAAGTGGGAGGAACCAAGCTAACTCTCCCACAAGACATGCGATGGAACTCAGTAGTGGACTGTTTTGAGCACTATATCAAGAACTGGCCTAATCTGATGACAGTTTGTGAACAAAATCGTGAAAAAATAGATGGCACTGTCACAGCGAAAGTTCTCAACATTGGGCTTAAGAGAAATGTTGAACACATGCTGAGTACCCTAAAGCCTATTTCTGTAGCCTTGAACAAAATGCAGGGAAATAGCTGTTTTATTGCTGATGCTGTTGAAATTTGGAAGGAACTGAGTGAGATCTTAAAACGAGAAATATGCAGTGACAGAGTTAAATTACAAGCATTAAAAAACGAATGGGACAAGCACTATCTTCAGCTCATTTTCTTGCAAATATTCTCAATACTCGGTACCAGGATCAAACCTTAACTGTTGAAGAAGAGGAGTTGGCTATGACATGGACATCCAGCAATCATCCCTCCATAATGTCAACTATAATAAACTTCAGAGCTAAGGGTGAACCATTCAATAAATATATGTTTGCTGATGATGTTTTAAAGAAAGTCACACCAGTGAACTGGTGGAAGTCACTTAAGCACTTGGATTCAGAGACTGTTGAAGTGATAATCTCACTTTTAACAGCAGTAGCTTCTTCTGCTGGTATAGAAAGAATATTTTCTTCCTTTGGACTAATTCATTCCAAATTGAGAAATTGTTTGGGACCTGAAAAAGCAGGAAAGCTTGTTTTTCTTTTCCAGATTATGAACAAACAGGAAAATGAAGGTAAAGATGATTGAGTTAGCTGCAGAAGCCAATATTTTAAGATTCTCATGTTGACCTGGCTGACATTGTCGATTTTAATTTTTTTTTTAATATTTCATTTAACTATTTTAGTTAAAAACAATTTTAACAAAAACAAACCTGATTTTAAAAAACTTGACTGTTTAACTAAATTCAAAAACTCATATGCTTGTTTTGTTAAAATATCATATGTTTCCTGTTGAAGAAAAAAATCCAGAATATATAACGCTGTTGTTTTCATTAAATAAAACAATTTAAATGTCTGTCTGGTGATGTTCTCCTCCTAATACAGCATGGCAAGAAAATCCTCCAAATATTAATGATTAACTTGTTGAACTGGAGATAGTTCACCTCCCAGTGACTTCATAAATATCTGCTTCAGTTACCTTTGGTAAATGAAATAACCAAACAATCATTCATTTTCTGATATAGCTGTAAAACTAATCTGAAAAGTTTTCAAAATAAATCATTTAAAAAATGTATAGTGTGTACCTTCTAAAAATGAAATCTGCAGCTATCTCTGAGTTGTGAAGAGTATGTATTAAGGTTATAACAACCAACAAGAATGCACTTTTATGTAGAAATCCATGATTAAATTGAGTCTTCCTGACTAGTGATTTAAATCATGATTTAAATCAATTTGATTTAAATCACATCCACCCTGCTGTGGAAATAGACTTCAAACTATGGAACATATTGTTGAACAATGTCCCATAAGATCATATTTTGGTGGTATCTCTGCCATCCACTCAGCTTCACCTGAAGCAATCATTTGGATTGCCAACCTAGACTTGGACATTTAACACTGCTGGTTTTAAGCCATATGAAATAAGACTTTGCCTATGTGGCCACACAGGGGAGTAAGAGGGTGTTGGAGAGGGCCTTATGCCCTGTGAGGCTGTGCAGGGCTGACTCGTTGTCCTCATCTACACTAGGAAAAAAAGCATACTCTTAACTTGAGGCAAATTCCTAGTAAAGACAAGGCAGTTTGTAACTTTCATGTACTAGGCTTCCTCATAGTCTTTAACTTGACTTGTTTACTCATGTGAAAATGTGCAAACTGCCTTGTCTTTACTAGGATTTTACCTCAAGTTAAGAACACACTTCTTTTTCTAGTGAATACACAGCCATGGAGACCGATCATGGAAGCAGGGTGGGATCAGGAGTAAGGATGGGGAACAGACTTACGAATGTGCATGCCCCCACCCGTGTACTGGCTGGACATGAGTGGGAAGTTTGCTATGTCAGATAGTGGGATGTCATAGCATATTCCCTCCTAAATTTCCAACTCCTTCAGGAGCTCAGGAAGTACTGTGACTCTCACTGTCCCTTAAACAGGGCTCAGAAAAACCTCCTAATCTACAATAAATAGTATATACAAATAAGGTGAAGGTGGAGAAGAAATTAATTTCAAAAATATGTAAATAATGTTAAAAATAAAAGAATAAACACATTTGAATTCTCTTCAGAGCTTCTCTTCTCTCTTAGGTCTACTGGATGATGAGAGGGAAAATTCTCTTCAGTACCAAATAATATTGCTGGTGTAACACTGTGATTAACATTCTTGACAGCCATTTGAATACTATAGGGAAATTACTCTTAAAAATAATTTCAGTGTTGCTGTTTTTAGAAAGCATACTAACTATTGACCTCTGTGTAAAATGTTCTTTTGATTGACACTAAACTAAAGTCAGTTTAGTGACTTGTGGCCAAGTTTCTGGTAGGACATCCTGAAAAAATGTGTGCCTCTGATAATAGCTAATGCATATTTATTGAGTGATGAAATCTTTGACTGTTCATTCAGCTAGACCAGGGGTCGGCAACCTTCGGCACGCGGCCCATCAGGGTAATCTGCTGGCAGGCCGCGAGACATTTTGTTTACGGTGACCGTCCGCAGGCACGGCCCCCTGCAGCTCCCAGTGGCCGCGGTTCGCTGTTCCCAGACAATGGGAGCTGCGGGAAGCAACGTGGGCTGCAGGGACTTGCTGGCAACCACTTCCCGCAGCTCCCTTTGGCCAGGAACGGCGAACCACGGCCACTGGGAGCTGTGGGGTGCCATGCCTGCGGACGATCAATGTAAACAAAATGTCTTGCGGCCCGCCAGCAAATTACCCTGATTGGCTGCGTGTCAAAGTTTGCTGACCCCTGCGCTATACCTAATTAAATAACCCTATTTGAAAAAAAGAAGAAATAAATTTTGTTGAGTCAGGTGGGAGGAAGCATGATCTTAGGACAAAGGCACAAGCTTGTATTTGTCAGGAGCTCTGGTTTTGATTTCCAGTTTTTCCATAGATTTCCTGTGGGATTACAATGTAGATAAAGATTGACATGTTTTCTTCTTACCTTCGATCTAGGGATAATAATGGTTGGAGTTATTGTTGGATCAAAGAAGACTGGCATAAATCCTGACAATGTTGCCACACCTATTGCAGCGAGTTTTGGAGACCTTATCACTCTTGCTATACTAGCTTGGATAAGTCAGGGTCTTTATAATTGCCTTGGTAAGTATGTTCCTAACTACATGTGCCTTTGAGAGGCTCTTCTTTTGTTGTTGTTAAACATTTAAATAGATACACATTCTTTTTGACATCAAATGACAGATCTTTGGTTGAAACATTAGGTCACAGCTATTTATTCTTTTTAAGATAAACAGGATCTCAAGCCACTAGCTGCAATCAGTTGAAGTCCCTATTTTTCCCCTTCCCAGTATCTGTTACTATACTAACCAGTCCCAGTCAGTCAGCAGATGTACTTGGAACTCCTGAACTAGCTCCTCTTCCTGTGAAAAAGAAGCTGGCTTTGTTAAGAGTTTCTGAATGTCCACCTTCAAATCAAATCTTAGCCCTCTCCAGACCATTGTTTGACTTGTCACACTTGCTCTGGTAGTTACTTGTTTCTTTGTTGACTAGCTGTTTTTGGGTATGTCTACACTGGCAGAGTTACAGCGCCGGCAGTTACAGTGCTGCTCAGAGAGTGCTGAAGGGAAACCGCTGTTATGTGTTCACACTGTCAGCTGCTTGCGCAATAGCATGTTCACACTTGCGGCACTTGCAGTGGTATTCGGAGCTGTGCACTCTGGGCAGCTATCCTACAGAGCATTTCTTCCTCTTCTGCCGCTAAGAGTTGTGGGAAGATGGAGGGGGTCACGGAGCATCCTGGGTCCTGTCCCAATGCCCCGTGATGCATTGCTTTGCATCTCAGCAATCCCTGTGCTTCCATCCGCATTTGGCGCCATCTTTCAGTGGTTTGTGTACTGCGCGCTCTGCCTTTTTGGTCTGCAAGAATGTATCCTGAACCGTTGACCAGTATGCTGCTTGCTCTGACTAACACATTACGAGTGGCAGTGGAGTTATTCCTTAAACTACAAAGGCAAGAGATAGTTATGACACGAGATTGCCTGTGGCATTCACGGAGGTGCTGACCACAGTGGAACTCCGCTTTTGGGCTCGGGAAACAAGTACTGAGTGTTGGGATCACATCGTGATGCACATCTGGGATGACAAGCAGTGGCTGCAGAACTTTCGGATGAGGAAAGCCACATTTATGGAACTGTGTGATGAGTTCGTCCCAGCTCTGCGGCGCAAGGACACAAGAATGAGAGCTGCCCTGCTGTTGGAGAAGCGCATGGCGATAGCACTTTGGAAGCTGGCTACTCCAGACTGCTACCAATTGGTTGCTAACCAGTTCGGAGTGGGAAAGTCGACCGTTGGACTCATGTTGACAGAAGTGTGCAGGGCCATTAATCACATCCTGCTCCGAAAGACCGTGACTCTAGGCAACATGTGTGACATTGTGGATGGCTTTGCACAAATGGGCTTCCCTAACTGTGGAGGGGTGATAGATGGCATGCATATTCCAATTCTGGCACCAGATCACCTAGCCACCGAGTACATTAATCGGAAAGGGTATTTCTGTATGGTTCTCCAGGCACTTGTAGATCAGCGTGGGAGTTTCACAGACATTGACACAGGCTGGTCCAGAAAGGTGCATGATGCACACATCTTTCGGAACACTGGCCTGTTCAGGAAGCTGCAAGCAGGGACTTTCTTCCCAGACCAGAAGATCACTGTAGGGGAAGTTAAAATGCCCATTGTGATCTTGGGAGACCCTGCTTACCCCTTAATGCCGTGGATTATGAAGCCATACACGGGGCATCCTGACAGCAGCAAGGAGTGGTTCAAAAACAGGCTGAGCAAGTGCAGAATGACTGTTGAGTGTGCTTTTGGCCATTTAAAGGCCTGCAGTCACTGCGTATATGGGAAACTGGACCTGGATGATGACAATATTCCTATGCTTATAGCTGCGTGCTGTACGCTCCATCATATTTGTGAAGGGAAGGGTGAAAGCTTCACTCTGGGCTGGATCGCTGAATTCTGGGTCGTGCTTGATTTGCTGGTGCCTGGAGCTGGCGCTGCCCAGAGGAGGCTAGCCAGTCACACCTGTTGGATTTTGGCGAAGTGCAAACAGGAGAGGAGGCTCCTGGTAAGTGGATTTGATTTTGGAAATCGCTGAAGCAAGTTGTTGGGTGCAGAAGGGTTGCAGAAAGCAGGCTTGTGTCTGTATGATGCATGTACCACCACATGCCTAGTCTGAGCGGCGGAACAGGCTGTTGATTGACTCCCTCACATCACGGGAATCTGCCTCAGAGATCTCCAGGAAACTCTCATGCAGATACTGGGCAATCCACTACTGCAGGTTCTTTGGCAGAGCTGCTTTGTTTCTTGCCCCATTAAGGGTAACGTTCCCGCACCACTCTGCTGTCACGGGGGGGCGGGGACCACCATTGATGCACACAGGCGAGCCGCATAAGGGCCAGTGTGGAAGCCGCAGTCTTGGAGAAGACCCTCCTTTGATTCCCTGCTAACCCTCAGCAGCGAGATATCTTCCGTAATGAACACAGCCTGTGGAAAATGTGGGCACAGGAATGATTATCAGGCCCCCGCTACAGTGCTGGCTCTCCTCAAAAGCCACGTGCCCACTGTACACTAGGGTCAGGGAACACCGATTTCCCCTGTCCCTGCAGCTACTCACCATTTTGGGGGGTTTGTGGCTCATGTGTGCTTGCCTGGAGTCAGCCAGTTAGTGACAGGTATGTGAATAGTGGCTGTGTTTTAAATCACTGGATCAGTGGTCTGTGTGTTGCAAACAATACTGCTTCTGTAAAATGTTGCGTTTTGGCTTCACAGAATTGACCTTGGGAGCCCAGACTCCCTCTTTGTTATCGCCAGCTGAACGCTGCGCAGAATTAGAAAGCGGCCACAAAGAACTAAGGAGGACTTTCTGCGTGAGGTTATGAGACACTCCGCGGCAGAAAAACAGGAATTGAAGGAGTGGTGGGACAGCGAGAAGAGGGACCGAAAGGAGAACGCGGCGTGCCAGAATGAAGCCATGGAGCGGCTCTTAAAGGTTATGGAGCACCAAGCGGACACACTCCAGGTGATACTAGCACTGCAGACCGAGCAGCTCCGTGCCCGCCCTCCGTTGCAGCCGCTGTTGCAAAACTCTTTCCCATGCGCCTCCCAGACACCGCCAACACACTCTTATCAACCTCCTGGCTCCAGTCTGTACCTGTGGCATTCCACTCTTCCCCCATCACAGTCCAGCACTGCGGACTCCCAGTACCCACTGCACTCAACACCCATCCCTCTGCAGTTTAGCCCTTCTGAAGTACAGTACCTGTTGCACTGTACTCCAACGGAGAAGGCTGGATATGATCCCTGGACATACACAAATCCTTAACCATCCCGGGACCCCCCTCCTCCTGGGACTTCCCTTCCCCCATCCCCCTCAGTGCTGATGTGTTTTTTTTTGTTTGTTTCTCTTCTCTGGTTGTTGTTTTTTAATAAAAGAATTGTGTTGGTTTGAAAGCAATCTTTATTCTATTAATTGACAGCAAACAGAGCCCTGCAAAGCAACACATAATTATCTTAAACCTTCATAGTGCATCATCTGCACCAATCACAATCACCTCCTAGCACTACAAGCACTGCACTCCTGAGCATAGCAACAAATATTAGTGGCTTTCAGCTTCAAATTGTTGTCTCAAGGCATCCTTGATCCTTATGGCCCCACACTGCGCTTCTCTAATAGCCCTGGTCTCTGGCTGTTCAAATTCAGCTTGTTTCTTTTTTTGTTTTGTTTGTTTTTTGCTTGGGGCAGCAAAAAACATAGAGCCGGCCCTGCCTCCGGGGTAGAAAAGAGCTCCTGGCTGCATGTATCTCTGACCTCCAAGTTGTCCTCTGCTTCTGGGTCCCCCTCCACATCCTTGTCCAAGATTTCCTCCTCCTGGCTCAGTCCACTCTCGAGTGGCACGCAAGCCACCCAAGTATCCACAGTGGCCTTCGCAATGGAAGTGGGGTTGCCACCGAGTATCGCATCCAGCTGTTTGTAGAACTGGCAGCTTGTGGGCGGAGCACCAGAGCAGCGGTTTGCCTCCCGTGCCTTGTGGTAGGCATTCCGCAGCTCCTTCACTTTGACGCTGCACTGCAGTGTGTCCCAGTCATGGCCCCTTTCTGTTATGCATTGTGAAATCTGTCCATAGTACCATAATTCCTGTGGCTGGAGCACAGCTGGGACTGGACAGCCTCTTCTCCCCAAATGCTGATGAGGTCCAGCAGCTCGGCATTGCTCCAAGCGGGGGATCACCTGGTTTGTGGAACAGGCATGGCCACCTGGAAAGATGCACTGAGACCACTGCACGCATCACTGAGCAAACAGGAAGGGGACTTTCAAAGTTCAAAAGGAATTTACGGGGTGGGGTTGACGGTTGGTCACCTGAGGGCAGGGTAGTAGAGTTCAAACCGATGACCAGAGAGGCAAAAACAGGCATTGTGGGACACCTTCCGGAGGCCAATCGCAGTGCTGTAATCGACCAGGGTGTCTACACTGGTACCGCGGCACTGTAGCCCTGGTGCAGAAAGCTGTATGCCTCTCGTGAGGGTGGTTTTTTTTTTACAGCGCTGCAACTGTGCAGTTTCTGCGTACTAAGTGGCTTGGCAGTGTATACACCTCACGCAGAAAGCTGGTTTACTGCGCAGAAACTTGCCAGTGTAGACAGGGTCTTTGTGTAGAGAGGTCTGCTTCTGTTTTTTGAATGGTTTGTGGTTTTAGTCGTTGTTAAAGTGCCTAGAGTCAAGGCTATATATGTATACATGCAAATCAAAATATCTAGATAAAATAAAGCTAAAAATAACATAAACTGGAAAAATTAATCCATTGACATAACAACGGACTCTTGCTATTCCCCAAATTGCAACAAAATATTGGGCTTTTAAAGTATAAACATGAGCTAGCTTGTGGGCATCATCAAACTGGCCTTAACTCTTTACTGCTTTTTCCTTTGGGAACCACCACTGCTCAACAGTAAATAATGTGATTGTTGCTAGCTGCTCCATAGAATGGTGCTACTCTTCACTTGTTGTCTGTGTTTTGTCTGTCTTCCAAGGATGGAAAATTCTTTTCTGAACCTAAACTTGTTGATTTTATAATAGCCCTGTACATG